TGGCTTGGAAACAAAGAACCGTTAACTCGCAAGAGGTATGTGGAAGGAGGCAAGACAGTAACGAAAGCTGATTCGTTGGAGAAGTTCGATGAAGTGTTTCCAGTCGAATTACAACACGGCAAACAAGGAGTTCAGGCAGACCATTTGCAGGCTACGAGCCGATATGACGGGGAGTCTTAAAGGACATCGTGTTACCAAGAAGATGACATTCTTCGGCGACGGAGGGAGTACTTTGAGGAACCCCGAGCAACGGCAGGAAGACCCACCTCTAGAACAGCACTGAAGAGATATTAATATTTCTGTAGATGAAATTACGCAAGCAGTGTAAAGCTTGAAGAGTGGAAAGGCTGGTCGAATTTACGAAATCTGCTCTGAAATGCTCAAAACAATAGGCGAACAACGCAAATGCTGGTTAACACGTGTCTCTGGTACTGTAATGGTTAAGGAGAGGACACCAGTGGCCTGGAAACGGGGCCTATTGTGCCCCTGTTCAAGAAAGGGGACCACAGGTAATGGTCCAATTATCAAAACATTACCTCATTCAGCCTCCGGGGAAAAGTCTGTGCAAAGGTGCTATAAACGAAGTGCCGTGGAGAAGTCACTCCAAAACACAAGAAGAGCAACGTGGCATCCAGCCTGGCCGAAGCATATGAGTAAATACTCGCCGAACACCAGATTGCTGAGAAATCGTTGGAGTCCGCTTATCCGATGCATACGCGCTTTGTGGACCTGGAGGAAGTCTACGAAAGAATTACACGCAAAATATATTCACATGCCTGCGAATATACGGGATCGACAGTCAGTTACTACCAAATATAATTATTACAGGCTGTTAGCAAGTTCTGTATTAAAGCTACAATTCCAGAATCAAGCTGTTATAAAAAATACATTTTATAGATGGTACCTTTAATGATGATGCCTATAAAATTTCTGGACTGCCTAAACTGCCTCATTCTGCAGTTCCGACATGATTGCTTGGCATTTCTTGAAACCATCTAGAAGTACAGTCTATCCTTCGTGTTGATTTTTAAGTAATACTCTAATCCTTTATGCTAGATTAGCGGTTTTCTACCAATACAGAGATGTCGAATTTTCAGAAAGTCAGTTATCCAGTTTACAGCAGAGTATCCTATCAGCCGAGGGCTAAATAAATGAATGTGCGAAACTTGCTATAGAGACATAATATTTTAATGAATTTACTGTTATTTGCGAAGATATGTAGATTTACGCTAATAATGAAAACTTTCATGTTCATCGAGACTTATTTTACCCAGGTTGAGTTGAATCAGAATTAACTGCCTGTTTTTATATGGAGGAAATGTGCGGCAGAAAGGAAATAGCATTAAGTTGATGCCGTTTATTCATGAAAAATAAGCGATACTTTCAGATCATGGCTGAGAGGCATTCAATTTAATTTATGCGCACATTCTCAATTTAGCGCTGGGCAGATATTTTACGGAATCACGCCGAATACAAAATTAATTACCTCTAGGTTTTTCAACGTTTCGGCTAGTGTTCAGTCCGTCTTGACGGAGCGATATATTACAGATACCATGTTGCAGTAACTGTTCAGAGAAAAATTGCTTGCACTGACATCATGGGTGGCAACGTCCGCTGGTAAACGTCGTTACAGTTCGTTAATGGTGATCACATGAATATAAAACATGCTTAACCTGAAGGTCAAACCTTTTCCAGTACGGTATATGCCGACGGTTATCAAATTTTAGTTGCCAATGCGGTTTTCAGAAAATCGCTTCGAACAGTACAATGAGAGAAAAGGTTTAAAACATTAGTCTTTTCAAATTTCAGTCTATCACAATTTGTACTGAGCAGTTTTTTTAAATCAGCTGTTTTAAGATTTTCGGTGTTTTTCTTTTATAATCAGATTGTCAATCGCGTATTCAGAGAAAACGGGGTCGTTTCTGTTTTTAACATCGCTGAACTATTAAGTTTCTGACTCTCAATAAATAAATGTCAAAAATTGTGCTTCGAGTTGTTGATGCACACTGGCAGTCGTGTTTCTTGCACTCAAATGCCTACCCTAACTTGCAAAACCTTAAATTTTTTCTGAAAGTTAATGCGCCTCACATTCTCGATACATTTTTATTTATTTACAGCCTCTACGCTTATGGAATTATGGTGATTGCCATTACATATTCACTTTGACCAGGTAATAAAACGTTAGAAATGGACGACATACTGACTTTTATAACCTGTCTAAGGTCGACAGTGTAGACGCATTGGTATTGTATATTAGGTACCTATTGTAACGAGAAATTGTAGGCAGCAAAAATGCAACTGTCACGTCACATTTTTCATTGAGATACTGTGAGCAGAGCAATTTCGATGTTAAGCAGTTCAGTGTCTGTTAGTTGTCGATCCTACCCAAACTGTTCCTTATTGCTGTTTTAATTTTGGTTCTACTATATTTTCATTGATCCTCCTTCATTCTCGAACTTTTATCAACTTTTTCTCTTCGTTCATTCTCTCATCTTTATGGTTATTTTTCTTCTTAATCTTGTGTTCCGCGCTTTCGCTAACGTTTCTTGAAATCGTGCAATTAAGAGGTCATGGTTGCAATTAATATACTGAGTTTATTTTATGAACTTATTTATTCAGATATTGGGGGTGATTGGGTGCAACAAAATTTATACAGATATTGAGGGTGATCTTTTTCGTCTTCTTCCTCTTAATACCCTTTTACCTTGTCTTCTTTTTCGTTTCTTTAGCCTTGTTCTTCTCTTTTTTTCATGCTTTATCTTTGTTTGTACATATCTATTTCACATTCAGATTTCTCACTTTTTCCTCTTTTCTCTTTGTCATCCCCCGTCTTCATTGCGCCTGTTGCTTACTTCTCAGTTTATTTTAACTTTCTCATTCACTCATTCACGCTCAGATACTTTCCACTTCTATTATTTTCTTCGTCCAGTGTTTCTCTTCTACCTCCGCATTCCGACTAGCTCTTACTGTTATCAGTCACGGTTTCCGGCGTTTTATTTGTCTTCCTTCGTATCTTCTTCCATTCATCTTTCTGTAGTTCTTCTTCCTTATTGTCTTCATCTTCCATCGCCGCTTCTCCTTTCAGGTCACGTAGACAGAGCATCCAGCGTTCCCGATCCTGCGCCAGAGTCTGAGCTTCGCAGAAGACAACTGGAGTTTCGAACAGATTGCTTCCATATACTTGCACAACTTAATTTTGGCCGTCCCCTGGGCCTTGTGCCCGGTCGGATTCGGAAGAAACAGTTCATTAACCTTCCATTCTGGACGCATTCGCAACGCACGTCCAAACCCATCGCACCTATGACTTCTCCATCTGAAGAATCAAAGGTCTTGCACCAAGGTTCTCGCGAACGTCTGTATTCTATCCCATGTCAATACATATAGGGCCAGCGACTCGTCTAAAAAAGCCCATTTCAGCAGCTTGTAGTCGGCTTCGAAGTTTTTCAGTCATCGTCCGCTACTCATGACCGTAGGTAGACATGGGGATAAAGATCGACTTGAACACCGAGAGCTTAGTGTTCAGTCTGAGCTCTGCTTTACTCACCGCTGGTCAGATTAGTTCGCGCAGAGCGCCACTGGTTGCTATAGTTCGCCGGTGTCGATCTCTTACTCCGATTTTCCATCACTAGTAAATACGATTCTGAAATGCGTGATATTCTCCATCTGTTCCACTGCCTCTCCATTGATATGAAGGGAGCAACGGGCGGCAGAACCACAAATCACTAGGCCTTTCGTTTTAGGTGCGTTCACACGATGCCCGTCACGTCGCACTCGTCTGCAAACCTTTCTGATGAGCACCGTAGATCAGTTTTAGAAGATGCTAATAGAACAAGGTCGCCTGCAAACAGTAACCTTGTCGTCTTCGCATCTCTTGCACCGATACGCTCATGGACTTGGCTGCCCTTGACTACTCTATCCATGTACAATGCAAACAGTAGAGGAGACAGGACGCAGCCTTGGCGGAGACCAGTTCGAACGTTAAATGGTTGACTTAACGCCATCAATGCCGTCAATGCCATGAAGGGCTGGTGGCTAGCTTTTATGGAGACTTCACCATGATCTTTCTCATCCGGGTTTTGGGACCTGCAACGACAGAGTCCTTTCATCGTTTTTTCATATTTCTCTGTATTTGTTACTTTTTGTTCTCTTTGTTTCTTCGCCTAAATATTTCTCTCTTCCTGTTGATACTACTTTGTTTTCGATACTTTCATCTGTGTATATAATTGGAATGCATCGAAAAATCGGCGTTAAAATGAGTGGAGGTAAACGGCAAAGTTTGCAGTTGGAAGATACCCATTCATCTGGACGAAAAGGTGTACCAAACCGTAGTACTGACTACCCTTCTCTACAAACCGACTGCTTGGCTGCCGTAAAGACGCATGCAGAAGCTAAACTGAATGTAAATGTGAATACTCAAATTAACATCAGGACCACATCCTGAATATTTCGGTTAGAAGTGCGTTGGATGAAGAACCAGTTACATGAGTCGTGGTTGATTTCAGTCTTAGTATTTCGATGACGTGATTAGAAGACCCAACAGGGCGTTGGAAATGTGATACCAGTACCGACTCTCAGGTAGGAGAAAAAGGAAATATTTTAAATGGTGGTCCGATGTCATAAAGAACAGTGTGAAACATCTAGGAGTAACGGAAAATTTGGTCAAAGAGACAAATGTATGGAGGCTGTTTATTCAAAGAGTAAAACCTTATTAAAATAAGGGTAACACACTAGAAAATGGAATGTTTAACTGATGTGTACTTCTCCTTGGCTTGATCGTTTCGTTCTTTCCCAGTTTTCTCAGATTTTGCACGGCTGAAGAGCTCAGTTTGGTATCATGTGTTTATGAATAATTGAAACATCTGTTTTTGACTTTTACTCTTTATTCTTTTAGTTTTTGTTCTGTTACTAGGCATTTTTGCAGAAATTTAGTTTTTGATTTAGAAGCTTTTGTTTTAGATCCTTAGTCCCGGTGATGCTCATACTCCTAAAAGATTTCGGAAATGGACTTATCAGAGCTGATCGAAAAATCCCGTTATGACAACGTCAAGCTGTTTCGGCCTCTGCGCCTTCCGATCGTCGGTTCCTTGGTATTGACCAGTTTCCATACGATATTTTCACAGCCCGCCGGTGCCGGCACGGACACCGAAGACATCTGGGTAAATGGTGATTTTCTTTTAAAAAACATTTAATTTTGATGACTGTTTGATTTTTTACAATTTTTCTTACATTACATTTACATTTGTAGGTGGTTTTGCACAAAAGCGTCGACTACACGTACTGCTCTCGTTCGCAGAATGGCGGATGCAGTGTCTGTGTCAAGTGCAAGAACTTTGCCACGATATTCTTGCTGTTCAACAAGTACGAAGACGGCCAAGCATTGGCGAACGTCATCAACCTCCTGTCCAATATCGGTAGAGTTTCGCGGTCGATATAACTGAATTTATACTTTGCTTCAGACAATTATCAGCTACTTTACCCTTTCTTTTACCGGCCATCTTATAACATCACTGAAGACGGGTGGTTGGCGTTCACGCCACAAGGCGAGTACTCAAAGCTGCGCATTTACGCGGATCATTGGCGTCTGAGTTCCGTGAATACTGATTTTCAGGTACTTCATGAAAAATTTAATTCAGAGCAATTTGTTTCATCGGTCAGTGGGACCACAACAAAGTGCCATTAATAGAACGTACCAAGAACAAGTGAATAATATGCAAGCGATTGTTACAAAGAAACAGCAGGAATATTTGACATGATGCTTGGCTAAATTACGTATGAGGCATGAGCTATTGAAGAATCGCGCATGCACACTTTCAGGATTCAGTAGTCATCTGACCATATAAAATCTGATCGTTGTTCACAAGTCTGAATTGGTTTGCGGTTGACTGTCGGTTTGACCGGCAAGCACATAGTGCATCGTACAATAGGCATTTTGAATCGTCCAGTACTAACTTATGCTAAGTGAAGCCTCAGATTCGACCACGTTTCTGGCGATAATATCAATGTTTGACTTCGGGTCAGATTACCACCAAATCCGCTGTTTTGATAGCTGTCTCCAACTCCTTCTTGGTCAGGATGCGGGCATATTCTGTTGCATATCGTGCGCTTGTATAAATGTCTGTTTTTTGCGGTTTTGCGACATGCACAATGTGTAAAGAATAAGCCTATTATCGCACATAAGAAGGTTATAGTTGTTGGTACAAGATCAAGGATTAATGAACATACTACCACTATGCATCATTGCAAATATCTAATGGATATAATCGAAGACCTGAAGAAGTATTTATAGTAGATCAAAATTTTTGATTTTGGCGTCTTATCGAATTGTCATGTGTCTGAAATTTGTTTCACCATGACTTTAGGAAATAAACACCATCTTTTTTCACTGTATTTGGTCTTGTTTACATCGCGAGTCTTTCGATAACTAAGCATATTTTCTAGTTGTTCACAGTTATTTCTATTGTGGGGCCGTTAAATGCGTCGACCCTGTGTTTTGCTAAAATTTCGGTGGGAACGTCGGCTGAGCTTTTTTCCGCGTTGTCATTTATCTTCTGTTAGGTTGCTGATGATAGCCGCTGTTTTATCTTCTTCTGTTTTGTTTATTTATTGAAGAGTAATTATGCACTAATCGTTTCGCGATGTGATGTCTACGTGCATATATTAGTACTATTTTCCTAAAACTTCGAATGTTGAGAAATGTAAGCGAAGCATCGGTGTGGTATGACGTGTACAACTTATAACCCCATCTTAATTGGTGAGGGTTCGATAACATGGCAGTGTACATAGCAGTACCACTCATGCGCTTATTAGGTATGTCCCACTTATCCGGAATTGGTGATTGTGCCAAAAGCCGTTGACGACGATGTACTGATCGCCTCAAGCCGATTTCGAGATGGATGCCGCTTCCCTGTCCTGAGCTACTTTCATCCGATCACTAAGGTACTGCGTTATGAGAAAGTGAAGAGGTCTTGAAGAAAAATGTTTTTACTTCTTCGTTTTAGTCAGCACTCATCAGATGTAGTCAACCGCTCGTCGGTCCAAGCAACAGACGCTGCAAACAAGACGAATTGCTGTTAAATTCTATGCTAGTTTCTTCCAGCCGCGGCTACATCGTTGATACACGTTGTCTGGCTGCCGCACAGTCAGCGAGGTCTAAAGGTGATCGTCATAAGAGATAAACTATTCATACTTGCTCTACGATGTCATATGGAGGAGACATCTAGAAGGTTAAGTTACTGGTTTCAAATTGATTTAAAAAAATGCCACGTTTTGATCGTCATCTAAATTAAGTGTAACTGTACCAGGTGTGACCCATCCCACTGGTGACTTGCCACTTTGAAAAGCAAGATAATTATGAATCTTGTTCCAGGATTAAAGTGATTATGCATTTCTTGATACAATATTAAATTATTGAAAACAATAATTTAGAAGAACTTCTGAATTAAAACTAAATTTCTGTAAATTTTAGTTTAAAGTCAGTGCTGCCTTGACCACGTTGAAACTTCCTTTGCAAAACTTATTCTTCAGACACTTTAAACTTGAATTAAGTAATGCATTGTCGTGATGTAGTCATTCACTTGTTTGTTTATGGGGATGTACATTGCATTGAAGGTGAAAGTTTTGAATACGAAAAGCCCTCCGTATAATTTTCTTAGTTGCGTAGTATCGTATCAACGTAGATACAGTTTGTTAAATGATGCATTTGGCGTATACCAGGTCAAAGCATCAGAGGGCTGTTCTTAATTATTAGTCAGAAGTAATGGCGGGTAAGCACTGAGCCGTGCGTGTAGGGCAGTGCCAAAGAAGACCTGTATTTCTGTTGTTTTATTCCATACGTTATATGACTTATTTTTATGCGGTAGCACATCAGGACTATTAGCTCCGAAATCTTTGATTCTAATAAGGAAGAAACTTTTTGACGAATAAAATGATGCTATCTACATCTAGCACGGCAAGTGCTTAAATATGAATTTTCAATAAGCTAAAATGCCTCGAGGTAACTAAGTGAGGCCATACGCCACGAAATCTAGTACGGGATGATTTATGCACCCATTTACGTGATACGTTGTGCAACCCATGTATTATGTATTTATCAGTCTGGCATATTCCTGTGCATGAAGCTATAGGAAAAAAGCAGTTTGAAATATGGCAGGTTGATTTGCTATATGCCATGTTTCTTTCATAGGTGGCGGTTGTGAACAGGAAGTTTTCTATCCGCGGTGGAAACGGATCCATCGTGCTGTTCCCAGGCGTCAAGCAGTGCAAGAGTCGTTAATCAAGCTGATTGAAGGTCACTGGCTATATAATTTGTTCAATTATTTATTTTGGCAACAATTTTTTTGCAGTTTGTAATGATAGCTGTAATAGCGCAGGAAGCAGCAACAATGATCGCTGGTTGAACCGACTCGGTAGCACCGGCTGGCTGCAGAACGTGATCGAATTGCTTGATTGCGCTTGCATGATCGCCCAATGCATAGATCGCGAAGGTGAGAAATCAGGTTAGTTGCTGTTCGTTTTCATTGGCTTTGAATCTAGTAGTTAGCTAGTTAACTTTGCGTACTTGTTCCTCACACTGTCAGCTTTGAAGTAGATCGTTAGTAATGCAAGAATTTGTTGAGCTTCTATCGCGATTGCTTATTCATCGTTGTCTCGTAAGGCTATGACTTACCCTCTGAACACCAACAAAGCGTTGGAGAGTCCTAAGAACAGGCTGTCCATTAATAACATAAAGTAACAGTCCAGAAAACTTGAGGCTACGGGTTACTTGAATAAAAATTAGAAAAATGTATTTTTGTAAATTTACATTTGCACCTTGTGCTGGTATTTTGTTACTCTTCATTTGAAGGAAAAATCCTACAGAGTGGGTTGCCTAGTAGTAGTTCAGCAGTGAAAATGTCGATCTATAGAAAACCAACGCACGCCGATCATCATTTGAATGATGAAACCACTCCTGCTACAGTGAATGATTGACTGGCGAGCCGAACTCACAACTTGTGTTCCAGCAAAATGTACCTAGAGAAGTAAATTCCGTTTATGCCTTACTAACGCTAAATAGATAGCCTGAAATATTCTGCAGGTAGTTATGTAATAGAACAAAACAAGAAGTTCAAACAAAACAAAAACCCAAATCTATAGCCTGCATACCCTATATTGCAAATGTGTCTGTATCTATATGACAGATTATGAACTCAAACATTGGGTACTTCAAGCTGAAAGGGAAACTAAGGTAACTAGTAACGAAGTCATGATGCAATAGGCATGGCTACCAGATTGATTGTTTAACCTGTAAGTTACGATATGGTGGTACAATACGATATGGTGATATCAGTCTTAAAAGTTATTATCTGTTAATAAACTCTGACGTACTCATTTTCAATGCTTATGCCATAGCCCATAAAGAATATCAAGCCTGAAACGTTGGTCCTGATAATTGAATGGAAGTAGTGCACTGGATTCTTGTCAGCCTCTTTGAAACTGGGACAGAATAGAAAAAACAAATGCAGAAGTGTACAAGTGCACGAATAAACCAATGTATGTTTAAATATACGACCGTGTTCTTTTAGAGGTTTCAGTGGTTGTTCACGGTGATGAAGGAACAGATACGTCTTTGCAGGTCGTGTGTCTCGTGCAGGTACTTCTGGACCCGGACTGCAGGACCATTCGAGGGTATGATTATTTATATTGTACGAAATATAGTAAAAGATGTTTTTAAGTCACAATATAGATGATCTAAGAATTTTTCTTTTCCGAAACCTTATTTTAGAAAGTGCAGTTATATATCAAATAGAAGCCGTTACAGCTACCGACCATGGCTCTGACAGATCGCAATTACCATACGCTAATCATATGTATTCTGTAATCTGACAGACTAGATCATTATTGTTGCCTAAGTAATGAATTGATCGTCAGTTCATGGAAAGTATCAAATTAACGAACCTCTATAGCGAATTTAACAGGTAGTCATGAACTGTTACGTTTTGTCACAAAAATGGCTAGGTTATAACCCTAGTATGAGGTATGGGGGTCTTAATTGCCCTGATCGCGCAAAAATATTCTGTCGCACTAACCGATGCAAATACATGATTTATATTTCAATTAATTGAAAGAATCCTGTAGCTGGACGCGTATTTACCTTATTATTAACCTGTACTTTTTTGTCTTTTGCGAATAATATAAGCATTAGGTTCTGAACTGTCATTAGTGAGGGGCAAACAATTACTCTGGTCAATAGTATAATTCCAGATGCATCCAATAATGCAAGCGAATAAAGAAGTCTTTTAACTCTGTGAACTCTGCTTGTAGTTACTGTAAGCGTATAAATTAGTATTTTGCATAACCTATATATGTCTTTTAGGTAACCGTATATTGTAATATAGTTATGT